TTCCCATGTCCCTTTGTGCCATTGCTTCCTTTCCATCCTTTACCCACCATCTTGCTCCTGCCACGACTACAAAAGGGATACATCAATACAACAAAAGCACACAGGAGTGGATCCCCTTTGCTTGGCTGTGCTCACCTTTCAGACTGGTTCAGATCTGCTGTCCATCTAGTATAGTGTCTTAGGTCTAGGGCAGTGCCCAGAACCAGTTGATTTAGAGAAAAGTACAAGAGTCTTGCAGGAGACACTTGTGGACAGTTGTTGCCCTTGAAGGTTCAGCTGGACATCTAATTGGGTCTTGGCTTGAGATGTAAAGCAGGAAACGTAAAGTCTCTTTCAAAATGTATCATGAATGAAATAAATGAAAGCGGGGTGAGGCAGCCACTAACCACCACCCTGTGCTGCCATGCCCCGCTTTCCCATGGCCAGTCACACACACAGCTCCACGAGCTGCTGACAGGCCTTGCACCTGGCCAGTCATGCCTCACCTATCAGCAGCCTGGGAGCTGCAGGTGTAACTGGCCATGGGAAAGTGGCACACAGCAGTGACACAGGGTGGTGGATGGCAGCAGCCACATGTGAGTTCCCCCTTGCGCATGTTTGGCTGGCCAAGCAGTGCCTGTGCAGCCTGTAGAGGGGTTGCCCTTGCCCCCCGCCGCCCTGCATGTTCCCCCTAAGACATTTTCCAAGTACCCCTAAGGGTATGCATACCCCCAGTTGACAACCCCTGGCCTAGACCATTAAGCTGCTTTTAGTGATGTCTCAACAGACTCAACTACAGCACTTCTTAACCTAATCCACACCTGGGACAGTACTGGAGTGGACAGAGCTTAATGAGGACATTGGCTGAGCTGGAGGGATGTGAGGGCATTTTGAAAGGGGAAGGGAGCTCTTGGATATCACCTCTTGTGGTACCTACCGGTCTGTCACTTGTCCTACCACAGACCTCTCATAGGCCTTGCATGCAAGGCTGTGGTAAAGGGGATTCAGAAAGGTGCTTATCTTCATGTCTGGTTGGCTTTCTTTTCAGGCATACCTTGAGTCCTTCTACAAATTCTGCAAGGCTCTGGGAGGTACAACTGCAGCTGCCATGTGCCCAATCCTGGAGGTGAGACTATAAGTAATGTAATACAGAAGGTCCTATACATACCTTTCCATTCTGTCCTGAGCCAGAAATATCAGCTAAAAAGACGTTGGGAGGTGGCACATCTTGGCTTGGAGAAGATACCGTGTGTGAGACCCAAACAGCAGGTAGCAGTGAAGTTCAGTGCTCCAACCATGGGTCTCTGCTGAAATGACCTAGCCCATCACCTGTGCCATTAATTACCTGTCACCCCTCAGGCAGAGATCTGGAGGGATTGTTGCTGTTTCCATATCTGTAACAATTTTTATTTCTGCTAATTCTTTGACACAATGGACCTTTGTTACAGTTTAACTTTGTACCTCCACAGTGTATTGCCCACTGAAAAAGAAGAGCAGGAAGGTGTGTTCACCTATACTGCCTTTCTTCAGTCACTGCCTCAGTTTATAGGACAGTAACTGGTGCAAATGCAGCCCATGCACTTGAGTGCAGCAGGAAGGACATGCAGCCGAGTTTCTTGGATTAAAAGTAAATGGGTTGGTTGTGAACCAGGCTCATTGGGCCTGGGTGCAACCACTTCATCAGCTACTGAGTGCTTATCAGCCTGGATCCTCAACCAGGCTGTCAGTGGGAATAATAACTCTCCTGGCTCCCTCTGCTAATTGGTTTTTTGCATCACAGGTATCGGCAGCTGAGGGATTCGACCATACGGCAGTTTTGTGGCTCAGGCTGTAAGGCCCATGGTAGGCCATCAGTAGAACTTGTGGGGTGTGCTTTTTGAATGCTCAGCCTACCTTAGTGTAACAAGCAGAGCTGGGCTTGCTCTCTGACACAGTATTGCTCCATCCATAAGCCTTCAGCCTGATCATGGTGTTTGCCAACCCCAACTAAATGATGCTGCTGTGCTCCCAGCTGTGGGTGCACCACTTAAGACCAGGGCAGCAGTACAGCACTTGAGCCCAAATGCGCTGTGTTCATCTCTTGCAGTTTGAAGCTGACCGGAGGGCCTTCATTATTACCATCAACTCCTTTGGCACTGAGCTCTCCAAAGAGGACCGAGCAAAGCTGTTTCCTCACTGTGGGAAGCTGTACCCTGAGGGGCTGGCCCAGTTGGCAAGAGCAGATGACTATGAACAAGTCAAAACAGTAGCTGACTACTACCCTGTAAGTGCCACCTGGTGAAGGCAATGGGTTCACAGCAGTCAAATCGAGACCTTTGCTGCAGGTCTTGCTGTTCTGCAGGCATCCAAGAAGAGAGTCCTGAAGACTGATATCTATAGAGGGGATGTGAATGGATGTGGGAGGGGAGAGGAGCATATGCTGGCATGTTTCAGGATTTTTGGCACGAAAGCTCTCCTTCTGGCTGAGGCAGGAGCAAGCTTCAGATAGCATGAGCTGCAAAGCACTTATTAATTACAGTTGTTACAATACTCCAAGGAGCATACCAAGCATGGAGCCTCTGTTGTGTTTTAAAGACTCCCTAAACACATGCTACATGCACCTGAATGGTTCCTGCCCCAAAGAGCTGACAGTCTACACAGCTTGGAGCCAGTGGGGAGGGTGTAGAACAGTCCAGCAAAGAGAACAATATGGTGGCAGCAAGCAGCAGGGTTAGGTTACTTTTGTTTGTGTGGGCCTATTTTGGGAGCCTCATACCAGAACTCTGTACCTGGGGCTGGGTTTGAGCATATTCCCCTGAATTAACTGCAGGGGGTCATGGCCTTGTGTGGCCGTGTGCAGAAATGTTGGCTTAACCAGGGCTCACATCAGTTCCATTCGCTCTTGTAAAGTCCAGTGTATGGTCTAGGAGCCCGGTTTACCTAAAATTGTACCCTTGGAGATTGAGAGCACACATGGTGGACTCAGCATCTGCCCCAGTTTAACTCCTGTACATGTGGAGGTGCAAGTGTAGACTTACTTACTCTGCACTAAGTGAAATGGGTGATGGACAGCCAGCCTTTTCTGCAGAGATTCTGCCCGTACCTGCAGTAGCTGAGCTATTAGGGTCTTGGAGAAAGGACAGGACCAAGATTTATAGGCCTGGCAGAGTCTCTGTTACTGTTCAGAGTGAAGGCTGCTGGGCAGGTGGTTGCCTAGGGTGATAAAGGCTGTCCATCTTCACCCTTAGTGGACTACAGATGGCAGCTGAATCTTGTTTCCTTGGTGTTAACCAATGTCCCTCCCCTCATTGCTGCAGGAGGGTCTTGCACATCAGCTCTCCCTGGAATGGCTGCTCGGGAAAGGCTGATATTGGAATGCTCCACACTTTGGATAGATCTGAAATTATCCTCTTCTTTTTATAGGAGTATAAGTTGCTGTTTGAAGGAGCTGGTAGCAATCCTGGAGACAAAACCCTTGAGGACAGATTCTTTGAGCATGAGGTGAGTATTTTTTTGAGCTGTAAGGGAAGTGTATTTCCTGGTGCAAGTACCCAGCTATCCCACTTGTCATGCTCTAGCAAACAGCAAGCCCCCAACTACCCTCCAGAACCCTTTGTCCAGGTATATGGAGGAGCAGAATCATACTCGGAACAAGCTTGCTCAGGAGGTATGAGGTTGGCTGGGATGGGCTGGATACAGAATCAGGGATGCTGGCTGGGAAATTGTATGGGGCTGCCAAGGGCCCAGCTTTGGTTCCCAGTCCCTTGTATTCTGTCAGGTAAGTCTCTGTAGAACCTAGGGAGCAGGCATGCGACTTATACAGGGCTCTCCTAGTCTCCCCAGTGCAAATCCTAGAGGACAAACATGTAGGGAGGAGAAACGGGAACACCTCAAGGCTGTTCCCTGGATACTCAGAAGGCCCTTTGGCTTGTCCATGCTGAGCTGTGTGCTGTAGAGTAGTGTTTCCCTAGGCATCCTGTGCAGGCATGGAACTTGCATTGTCATCTGAACCAGAAGCGTAGTAGCAGGAATCTGCCTCAGGCAGGGAAGCCTGCATTGGGCTTGCTTGGAGCCCTACCAGATACACCAGAGCCCCATGTTTGGGACCTGTGGATTATTCAGCAGCTGGCTCCATGTGGGGAAAGGAGGTGCACTTCCTGTCCTAGGAGCCCATTTGAGGGGAAGGGCTCACATGAAGCCATTGCCACAGGAGCATGATGCTGGATGTCTCTCTTCTCCAGGTGAAGCTGAACAAGCTAGCTTTCCTTAACCAGTTCCACTTCGGGGTCTTCTATGCCTTCGTAAAACTGAAGGAGCAGGAGTGCCGTAACATCGTGTGGATTGCAGAGTGCATTGCCCAGCGGCACCGAACCAAGATCGACAACTACATTCCCATATTCTAACCATACCCTCAGCCTGCCTGGCCCTCCTGCTGCTTGGAGCCCAATTGGACCATCCCTTCCACCCTGACAAATGTGCTCTGAGTTATCCCTGCACCTGACTCCAGGGCAGCTCCTCCGGAACTGGATCCGAGGGAAGCTGTACAGTCTCAAGTTAAATTATTCACAAGCTGAACTTCCTTGAAGTTGTTTGAGGTAGTTGTGCTTTGAGGGATCCAGCAGGACCTCTGAGGTGAGCTGGACCCTATGCACCTATGTAGCAGGAGGGTTATAGTCCACGCATCTCATTGTAGCTATGTCACTGTACTGATCTGCTGTGTGCAATTGTGCTGATAGGGTGGCCTCCAGTTTGAAGGAAGTGGTCTCTCAGCAAGTCTCTCCACTGACGAGAGATGCCTCAGAACTGTATTGGTCAACTTTGTCCCCTTTGTTGGTGCTGAGAGAGTGCCTCCTCTAGTCAGTATTGTCCCTATGAGGCTTAATTTGAATGTGATTCTCTTAGTGTAGCAGATGCTGCTGTGTATTCCTGCATCACCCTGTATTTGAATCCTTTGATGATGAGAGACTGAGAAGTTTAAGTGCCAGGAACTTGTCTCAACTGTCTGGATTGCAAGAGTTGAGGACACAGAGTGGTTCCTGTTGGTTAGGGCAGGAGCCTGGGCAGCTTGCAGTCATGGCATTCCTTCCCCATAGTCATCAGGGACCACGGGAAAGGATAATCCCCAGGTTTTATGTCCCAGGGAGCCTTCTTGTTTGGAGGCAGGGCAGTCTCTTCATGGAGAAAAGCTGATCCGGGAAGCACCTTTGCAAAGAAAGGGCACTTGCTAAACTACCCTCAGTTTGGTTAGTGCAGTGCCAGAGTGGCTGTAGCATGCAATGAAAGCAGGGGAGGGGAGGAGGAAGGGCAGTATGTCCCTACCTGCCAGCCTTTCCCAGTCCCTGATGTCCCAGGGTCCCTTCTGTGTTGTTCAGCCAAGCCATGAATGTGTTCTTTCCCATTCTGCTGGCTCAGTGTGGTTGTCCTTCCAGGCTGTCTGCTTGCACAGACTGGAGCAGGCACTAGTTCCTGGCCTACTCCAGCCATGCAATGATTTGTGGGGATGCTGCTGAGTGAGAAAACCAGGCCCTGAGGACACCTCTGCTGTCCCTGTAGGGAATATATCACCACAGTGACCCCGGGCTCAGTCCTAGCAGCAGTAAAATTCCCCAAGGAGTTTGGGCAATGGGCTTGCTTGTCTGGCTAGCCCCTTGGCACAGGGCTCTTATAAGCATCATTATAACACTTATTTATCCACAAGACCATTCAAATGACCAGTTGCTATTTCTGGGCCTGTTGTTTATCGGAAGCTGCCACTCTCATCCCTATCTTGGCTAAAAAATAATCATATTTAAAAATAGTGGCCCTCAGCAAAGGGACCCTGGTGTGGCCTCTGTCATCTCATCACCTTTCCTGTTCTGCAGGGTTGTGGGCTATAGTCTCAGTAGATTAGAAGCTGTGCAGGTAATGGACTACAGTGCTGCCTGCCACCACCATGCACAGACAGGGTGCAGCCTCTGAGTGCTGCTGCTGCTGCCTGTTGGGGTGGCTTTTTGCTGCCCCTTTAGTGCAGGTTTAGCTGGTGGGCTGCCTAGCTGCCCCAGGCAGTGTAGGCATGGAGGCTCCCCTGCATGTCCTTCTGATTTGCTTTGAGTTATTTAGAAGCAAAGTCAAGTCCCTATGGAGGGTGGGATTGCTGCTGCTCTTTACATAAAGCAGTGTGGTGGTCATTGCCCTCAGCTGCAATGACCAAACCAACATGAAGCAGCACCCTGGGCCCAGTGAGCATCGTGCCAGCATACCCTAGAGCGTTTCAGTCACTCTACAGTTTAAGCTGTTGGAGTTGATTCTGCCCGTCCCTGGAGCCTGGCTCCACTGCATGCATGTGCCCACGCTATCAGCCCAAAGGGAGTGTGGACACTATGCTGAGGGTTGTCATTCCCACAAAGGCCTGGTCCTTGCCTGCTCTGGCCTGGTGCTCCATATTGAGAGGTCAGGGCAGGGGTAGGCAGCATTAGGTACGTCCCTCATTCCCTTGGAGCAAGTGATCCAGCCCAGACTGCGTTTGTTGTGACATGCCCAAGACTTGCCCATTGGGCATTGTGAACAGTGGTGCCCTGGGCCCCCATAGCCTTCTGGTGCCAGCAAGGGGGTCTTGTTCAGTGTGTGGCAGTGGAGTGATGCCTGTGCTGTTGGCAAGTGGGTATAGAAGGGTGGGGAGCAGGCCTGCCCCAGCCCATGATGCAGTACCTTGCTGCTCACTGCTTGAATGCAGAATGTTTGCTGTACTGGCCGTCTTTCCTCCTTCCTCTGTGACAATAAATATCTGCCTGAAGCACTGGGCTGCCTTGACTGGTTTCTCTCCTAGACTTGACTGCACTCTGCCACTTCATGGGCCCAGGTGGAACTTTGGTTCATTCTTGTCCTGTGGTACTCATGGAGCAACTCCCACAAGACCGTGCCCTCACCTGGGCTCCAGCCATCCTCCTGTGAAAACAGCAAGCAGCACCCACTGTGCCTCAGCTGCTGCAAGTCAATGCCTCAGCTATGTCTCATCCTATAGTTGCTAAACAGTGTCTTGCCTCTCAGCTGGATTGCTAGCGTCAGTGCAAGGAAGGGGGCTGCTGGGCTATGGACAGCCCACCTGGCCAGCCGAAGGCCCAAACTCCCCCACTCTTCCATTGAACAGGCTTCTATGGAGGCAGGGAGCCTAGAATCCTGTTCTCAGTGCTGACAGATGACAGAACAAGGAGCAATTGTCTCAAGTTGCAGCAAGGGAAATTTAGGTCAGATATTGGGAAAAAACTGTTGCTAGGAGGGTAGTAAAGCACTGGAATAGGGTCCTTGGAGAAGTTGTGAAATCTCCATCCTTTTAAGATCCAGCTAGACAAAGCCTTGGCTGGGATGATATAGTTGGGAATAGTCCTGCTTTGAGCAGGAGGTTGGACTAGATCAGCGTTTGTCAACCCGTGGGTTGCGACCCAAAAGTGGGTCACAAGGATATATGATAGGGTTGCGAACAAACTTTAAAAATGGATTCTCCTCTAAATGAGAAAAACATGGGAAATGGTACTTTCCCTTTCAAGCTGTCAGTTCCAGCCTGCAAGGGGCTGCTTTGGGATGTTCATGCCCCACACACTGGGGGCTAGGGCCTGGGGGCGGGGGGCACAGTGGGGCAGGAGTGAGGGGCACTGGGTCAGGACTGGCCATTGATGTTTGCAAATGGGTCCTGGTACAAAAAAGGTTGAGAACCACTGGAGTAGATGACTTCCTGGGGTCTCTTCCAACCCTAATTTTCTATCATTTTATGAATCCCAGCTTCCTGTTGACTTGTCTGCTAGGCTAAGCTGAGGCCCTGAAAGCTGCAGCTCATGTAGCTGAGGGTTGCATTTAATGTGGGCACAGGGTGTGTGCTGAGGAGCAAAGAGCGGCTCCCAGCCCCCAGTGTCAGCAGTGCCCATGGTTTGGTGGCACACTGTTGCTGCTCAGCTCCAGGCTGGAGATCCTTCTCAGTCCTGTGTCCAGGGCTAGAGTAGTGATTCTCAGCCAGGGTTTTAGGGCAGCTTACAGTGCTGCCAGATCCTTTGAAGGGTGTCATGAAGTATAAGGAAATAAGCTAAGTAGACAAATGAAGGCTCAGGCCTGCCCTTGCCTGAACAATCCCCCAACCTCACTGCCGAGCAGCTCTGCAACAATATATAAACTAGTTTTTGAAATTAGTGCCACTCTAATTCACAAAAGTCATAGAGGGTCCCTCAGGTCTAATGGGCTGTCTGGAGTCCAAACAGGTTGAGAACCACTAGGCTAGAGGTGCTCCTGTAAATCAGGAGGAGTTATCCCAGTCAGTACCTGGAACTTCCACCTGTATGCAGATGAGTGCTCATCCATGTGTGTCTGCTGTGCTACATGTGAAAAGTGAGCTGAGAACTGGGGTCCCTGGATATGAGGATGCCATGGACACCCACATGGCTATGCCTTGAGGTCTCTCTAATGGGGATCTAGGAAAGGCCAGGACTTATACAAGGGAGAAGAGCAGATGGAATATACAAAACCAGTGCCGTGTGCATGTCTTGCATTGGAGGAGTGGTGGCAACATGGTCGGCACCTTCCACACTGTTCCCTGCAGCAGGAAGCGACTACAGGGAAATCGCCTTCTCTGCTTGGGTGTATTGCAGCTCATCAGGAGGAGTCCAAAGCCATCGGAAGTTCTGTGTTAATGTATTGCTGGGACCACGTGTCCCTGTTGCCTCCTGCTTGCCCTCATCCCTGTGTCTATGAGGATCCTATGAGGATTGTAATACCTCCCCATTCAGTTTTAAGCATTAAAAATTATTTGCCTGAGAGCTTTCTTACATTTCCTCAGTGACAAGAACTGCCAGGCTGTCTCCTGTGTTGCATCACCTGGGCATGCTGGCCCACTCCCCCAAGTGGAGCTTGTCACCTAAGCCCCTTAGCATTTCTGAGCAGCAGGGGGTGGGGACTGAAACGGGAAGGGTTACAGGCTAATTATGTTGCAGGTGCTGTGTCCTGTCCTCTATTTATCTATGCTCCACACTGGGCAAACTGCTTCCCTGAAGTGCTGCATTTCTGTATTTACCCAACTGAAAATGACTATGTGCATCCTTGCCGTTCCTGAACCCCTTGGTCAGGGCCCCAGCAGGACTATCTTAGTGTTGCCTCCTTTCCCTATGCCTGACCCTACTTTCCAGGATTATGGAGCTGGGGCATTGTCTTAAAGGACCATGTCTTCCTTGGGGATTAAAAGAAGTTGGGTGAGATGCAAAACCAGGCTTCTTAATGAGAAGCCCATTGTCTTGACAGGCAGTGTTAGGCTGGAAACCCTCTCATTGCCACACAGGCTGCCCTGGGTGCTTGTAAACTACCTGGGCTTGTGCAGAGGGAGCAGCTGGACAAACCAGCAGTGAGCACATGCTGGGGCTGCCCATATCTTCTTGTCTGTGTGCATGGTAGGATGTCTGGACATTCACCATGTAATTCCTGATTTAAAGTCTCCTCTGCTAGGAGACCCAAGGGGCGTGCTGCATAGCTGGTGAGCTAATGAGGCTGGCCTGTTAATCCTGAGCTGGTGCAGGGACCAGGTTTCTGTTCCCCATTCCCACTGCTCCCCTGTGCTGACATCCAGCTAAACAGCCTTCCTTCCACTAAGCTGCTCTGCACAGTCTGTTCCAAAATACTGTGGTAAGCTTGCCCTCTGGTTTGGCTTAAAGCATAGCCATGCATGGGCACTGGAGCCTGCCAAGTCCAGCTGCCTGCTTAGTAGCAGCACTAGACCCAGGGTCTGTGTGTGAAGGTGCTAAGCAGGCAGGTGCTTGTAGCATGTGCATGAGGGGAAGGTGCAGTTGCAAAGTGCATGTGGGATTTTCAGCCTTTACAGCATGTGTACGCCCTGCTTCCCACCATTTGCTAGCACAGCCCTGACGAGTAGCAGAGGAAGGGCCCTGGTAGCCAGAGCTATAGGGCTGGGGAAAACTCTTTTCCAGGAGCCGCACCACGGAGCAGGATGTTCACCACTGGCCTGGCCCAGCCCTGCGCCGTCCCTTCTTCTGAGACTCTTGAATTGGTTTGTTTACTGATACCTTTACTGGTGGTTTTGCTGGGGAGGGGGGTCTAAATCTGCCAACCCATATGTCAGCCCAAGCTCCTTTGGCCACTTGGGGCCAGTCCAAAGTGAAGGGACAGGTGAGAGGAGTGTGGTATGTGCTTGTGTATATCAGTTACGGGTTACGGTGCATAGGCTTTACCTCAGGAAGGCAAATGCACATTACTATTACCTTTTAAAAACACATTGGACTGCTGTATGAATCAGATTCAACATTTAATATTTATTTTAATGAAAGCCCTATCATTTATCTCCTGGGTAACTCTCACCAGTTTCTTAGAGATTTGTATCTAATTCCTGCAGACTCCAGGGCAATCCTGGAGGGTTGGCAACCCCATTTTGGGGTGGGGAGGGGGCTCTTCCCTGGAACTGTGTGAGTATTGTAGATATCTGGTCTCTCTGTTCACCCATAGTAGACAGGACCAGGTGGCAGCCTCTCAAAGAGAAAGCTGCAACTGGAGCCAATGCCCATTCCCACTGGGTACCAGGCCCTGTCCTCCAAAGGGGTTTTCACTAATGGTCATTAGCTATTTGGGCTCCTTCCAACTTACTATTTCTCTCCACAGTGCCCAATTGGAATCAACACCCTGAGAGGGGAGCAGAGCAGAGCAGAGCACTTGGCTGGGAAAGGACATAATAGAACAGGCAGGTTGCTGTAAGACAGGAGGCAATGTGACTCAATGGGTGGAGCTCTAGCCTAAGTGATAAGCCCTGCTTCTGAGACTAGGCTCTGAAAGTGGCCTTGTGCAGGTTTTGTTTGCTCTTGCTCTCTGTTGGGCCAGGTTAGCCTATCAGCTTCTCAGGGTAGGAATTACCTCTTCTTGTGAGTCTAGCAGCGTCTGGCCCAGCAACACACCACTCCATCAGGGATCTACTGGATGCTATTAGGAAGTACCAGTTTTCCTTGCTATGTAACTGGCTGCTCCATGAGTTCCATCTGCCTTGTGTCCCTGGGTGTTGGCAGGGGCTGAATTTGTGGGAAAGAGACTTAATTATAACTAGTTTCAAGTAGCCATTATAACTATCATTAATAGGCTCTTTGATCCATTGAAGGAGAGCATAGAGCAAGCAGCTGAAAAGGGAGACTAGTATAAGAAATAAGGAGCAAATCTGTGACAATGAGGATGAGCGACCCTTGGAATAACCTGCCAAGGGAAATAAGGGACACCTGAGGTCTTGATTTAAAGACTGACTGCTGTTTCCCTGTAACTTGGTACATGGCGTAGGGGCATGAGCCCAGCTGCAGAGGGTTAATGAGTAATAGCCTGCCTGCTCAGTGACATGGGACCAGGTGACAGGGATGATTGCCTGGCCCAGAGGAAGTTAAAAACTCCCAGGGAGGGGAGCTGGGGAAAAGCAGAAAGTGGTCTGTGCTAAGGAGACCGCACAGCTGGGGCAGCCCTCTCCGGGTCCAAAAAAGGACCAGAGGTTTGTATTTGTTTCATTATAGATGTTGGTTTCCTTGTGGGGACAAGTTAGTGCCAGGAAAAATAAAAAGCTGAGTGACAACCCACTACATTGCCAAAAACAAGTTCTTGGGCATCATAGGAGAGAACAGTATAAAATTCTCTAAGCTGAATTATATGCTAGGTCATGCTCGAACTAGAGTGACCATATGACCCAGATTGGCTGGGACAGTCCCAGATTTTAGAGGCTGGTCCTAGTCAGCTGATGAAAATCAACCCCCCCCCAGGCTCAGAGGCAGTGGCAGCAGCTGTGAAACAGGAAGCTT